ATTCATTAGACACCCTAAAAGTGACCAATCAAATTAAAAAAACAATCCTGTAACTCATATATTCCCGTAATATACTTTTTTTGATTAAGTAACCATTTATTTAAGTGTGGCAGAATGTTTTTTCATTAAGAAATTACGATCAATCTCTTAACATCATACGACAGGCCTTGTCTTGCCGCTTTCTTAATAGCAATTTTTTTTTAAATTAATAATTGTTCAAGATAATCACATAAAGGAATCTGTCTAATATTATCTGCGTATGTTTAAGCATGCACTTCATTTGACTCGGGAATCCGTCGCAAATCTTGACATGCGACTATTTAGTTCCTACCGCCCACGCTGATTGTGCTATATTGTGCTTAACATAGATATACAAAGAAATAGACATGACATTTTAAATAAATTAAATAGAATCTACATCTTACTTCTTCTAAGTCTACACATCTATACCTTCATCGTCTCTTAGTTTGTTCAATTATAAACCAGTAATTAATTTAAAAACTTAAATATTTGACTTGGACCTAAAAATGTATAAAACAATATATATAAAAAATTAGAAGACCTATAAGGTCAAATAGTAAAAGTTATAAGACGTGTTTAGATAATACCATTGTCCTGTCTAGAAATGTACATAATCTTTGTTGTATGTTATTGTGTCTGGATTCAGTAATGAAAACGGGCATACCATTTTAAATTGAAATTCATTGAGAATAACGTAATACTGAAACGTCTAGGCTTGCAATCATTTGATCGTACATCGGAATCCCAATATGCGTGGCATGCGAACTGTAATTACTTTTTACTAATACAAAAGTTAAAAATAAAAGTGCACAGACTCTTACTCCCACTGACAGAATATAGTTGACCGGTTATAAAAAGTAAACTGTAATTTTAAAAAAAAGTTAAATTTCAACATTAATTTTTCTTTTTTTATTTCATTTGAAGAATTGCTTGCGAAACGATCTAGGCCAATTTGCTACACCCTAAGGGGTCTTAATTGACAGCGATACAAATTGTTAGGTATCTAAGCTCTAATAATCTTAGCCTATCGATTGAGCTTCAAGGAATGTCTATTACTATTCAATTAAGTTTTTAGATCTCTTGTCTTTCTATCTCAGATCTGTTCACTGCGGCCTAGTTAATCTTTGACATTTATTGTCAATGATGTCAAAGATTAATTTGATAGTTAATCTTTGACATATACTATCAAAGATTAACAAAATCAAACAACACAGACATTCGATTTTAATAAGACTTTAAGTACGCCTTAGATGCAATTTATTTATTAAAGAAACAATAAAAAACATTTGAAATATTTACTATAAATTTATCCATTCAGATATTTACATTGTCCGTTAGATTAAAAGATTAAACAAAGCAATATTTCATACAAATACTATGAATATTCTCTTTGTGTATAAAATAACCATTTACAAACGATCTCATTGTTATAATATATCGATTTCTAAACGTTTTCATTGTTTCATACAATTCTAAATGCTTGCCTTGTTTACTTGTTTTAGTTGTATTCCGTATAAAGCAGCCGTCCTTTTCTGACTTACAATTAAAAATGAGATAGAACATTTCAGCTGGACCACACACATCGCTAAAGCAAGAAGTGTAAAGCGTTCCTGAGAATTAGACTAAATTAATTTGCTTGAAACAATGTAGAGATTAATAGGAAAGACAATGAAAGAATGGAGGTAGACTTCTATTAGATATTTAAATCTCATCCTTTCGGTATATATATTTTTTTTAATAAACATAACACATTCCAGTCCAGCGGCTTACAAAAACTTAATTTATATGTGTTCTTGCAGACTATTACCCCAATTGATAACCATGAAGAATTTATTTAAAAAAATTCTGTCGCCAATATACAAACGATCTCATGAAAAAAGTACCCAGTTACTAACTTAAAAAAATGATGAGTGTGCGTCCAGGAGGCCTAATTTAGTCCTCTTTCCCTTCCCACCCTTTTCTTATAAGGAAAGGATGGGGAGTGGAAGTCGACTTTCCGGATGAGAGGATGCATGGAAAAGGAAAATATTTTCTTTCTGTGCATCCTCTCCTCCGTCGATTAAAGGTAGGTAACGCATATGCAATTGCGTATGTCTATGGGCAACGGTCATTTTGCTATTTCAGCGATTTCGCTCGTTTGCCACCTTATGATATAAAAAAAAAACGCCATGCGCCCGGTTTTGAAGTGGCCGGGCGCATGGCGTTAAGCCTAAACCGGGCGCCTGGTGATCCTGTAAGCCTCATCGTGGCAAACAGTGGCTGTTTAAAAAAAAAGCATACCACATACTGGCAACATTTCAATCAGAGCGAGACAAACATAATACAAATTCATACGCATTAAATTCATTGGCATTCTTTTACTCTACAATGATAGAACAATAGCACTCATTGAATGAGTTAACTTGACATCAATTTAACAAAAACAAACAATTAATTAGTTTTTATTTAATTAAACTCTACTCAAATGGGTCTTCCGTTCGGTATGTTTCACCGGCGTACATCAAGGTTGTTCCATTTTTGCTTAATTAAAACATTTTATTGTTTTAAATGACTATATCCCTCATTAAACATAATTAAATAGCATTTCAGAGGTCATATTATCTCTATTGGGAGCGTCGGTGGCTCAGGGGTCAAGCACTTGACTTGCAATCTGCAGGTCCTAGGTTCGAATCCCGCCATGTATCAATGTGTTTTTCGATTTTCCATTTACATATGTACATTTATCCGACGTTCTTTCGGTGATGGAAAACATCGTGATGCAACCTGCACATATCTGAGAAGATTGTGTGAAGTCAACCAACCCGCATTGGGCGAGCGTGGTTGACTATGGCCTAGTCACCCTTGATTTAGGGTAGGCTCCGAACCCCTCGGTACGTATAGTGAGCTGATGATGATTGTCTCTATTTCTACTTCGTCAACAGTCGATTACATTATTTAGTATAAGTTTAGATTGTCTTAAACCTAACTAGCTATTGTTTAATAAAATGTTGGCTAAAAAGCCATGTATCTAGATTATCTTTTATTTGTGATACACGAAAACTTCAACGTTATAAATTAACTAGCTGTTGCCCGCGAGTCCATTCGCGTGGAATTTAAAAAAACATAATAAGTAGCCTATGTGTTCTTCCAGACTATGTTTTACATCTACTATGCCAAATTTCAACAAGACCTTTTTATTATTTTTGTGGCAATAAATATTTAAATAAAAGCGATTAAAAAATTAAATCAAGCAATACCTTTTCTTAAAAGGATAAATCTGTACATATTTAACCATAAGAAATAATAATTATTTTTTTATTCTCTATTAAATTGAAATAACATCACTAATTGTCTGTGTGTCTGTACTGTTTTAAGTTACACACATACGATTAAACATTTGACAAGATTGCTATGTTAATATAATTATACGGCAAATTGAAAATTCTGCGTAAGCCTTATTTGAAAAACACTCAAAGGAAACCTCTTGGAAAAGATTATAAAAACACATTCAATGCATGAATATCTAAGTAAAAGAAAATAAAGAGTAATATGAAAATTAATCGTGATATATGTAAATTATGTTGTCTCATTCCCTCTGTGTAACTCTCTCTTTCCCTCGAATAAAACTAAGTTTTTTATAACAAAAGGGGCTCTGCTATCTAGGTAGACAAGACCGGAAGTACGGCGCCGTCTGATTTAAGTAAGGTCAAGATTCCACCCGAGGTCATTGTACTATTTATTTACTTATATAATATGCATATTTAAAAATATATAATATTGATATATTAAGTTGATTTCATAGAATCAGCCGCGAGTTTTCATCGCGGTTTATATTATGTTACATTGTAATCAATCTTTTTGCTGATGATTTAAAAATAGCAATGTACCATGAAATAGGTATTGGAAATAATGCAAATAATATTTTTTTTATTAACAAGACATTCGAACCAGCGAGAGTCACTGTCAGGTCTTGACGCACGAACTCCATAACTCGGGTTATATGTTAGAGAAACCTAATTCACCGTCCCTTGACGTCTGCGCGGTAATCAAAAAAAACTTAACAAGTAGCCTATGTGTTCATCCAGACTATGTTCTACATGTATGCCAAATTTCATCAAAGTCTGTTTAACCGTTTCAAAGATATCTTCAAACAAACATCCATCTAAACTTTCGCATTTAAAATATTAGTGAGTGACTAAGTTCATAAGGTAAGTTTAGTATTTTATTTTAGTAGACTATCATATTTACGTTCAAATAAATAAAAAGTTAATTCAAACTTTAGTTTAAAGTATATAGTGAATTGTGAATCGCTTCACTGGATATCCAAAGTAATAAATCTTCCGAGTCGACTTAGATATTGCTATTGGCAACAAATTCAAACGCGGCGCACTTGATTTCGGCACTCTATTAATCGGCGCTGTTTGTTTTCTTGCTTCGTTTGCTAAATTCCAAATGAAATTGTACAATTTTTTTGTTAACAAAATCAGACTTTCAGGCAAAGGTTTTGCTTTTCTTTTAATATTTAGTACTATATTAAGGGTTTTAAATAATATACTAGTGTTATTTTATTACTTAACCAAGGGTAGTACTTACTCAAAAAAGTAATACGCGAATAGTGAAGATCGCAGATCATCCCACAATAAACAATTCGTAAAAAATAAAAAGAAAGAAAACTGAATTTAGTGAAGTTGAAGTTGTGAAGTGAAGTTTAGTGAAGTATTATAAAATCTTGATGCTACGGGAGCATGCCATTTGTCGTAAAGTCATATGGCTCTATCGAATAATACTGCTAACTGTGCGATTCCACTATTGAATAGCTCAAAAAACATCCTCCCATCTTTTTAATACGTTACAATAGTACAAATAGATAGTAAATATTTAACTAAATGTAAAGTGGGGGAAGACTTGGGTAAATAGGCATCTACTAAGCGCGTATCTTTCGGCCACAATTCAGATATAAGATATTGGACAAATGCTAACTTATTGCAAAAAAATCTTACCTCTCCAAGGTTGATGAATCCGTGTTCCGCTGCGACAGCATCAGCCGCTTCCCTCCCCTCTGGCACGTGCACCGCCCACGTGGGGGTGTAATGCGCCGCCACGCCGTGCAGCAGCAGCGCTAGCGGCACCCACCACTTGGCCATCGCACAATCACCAACTAGTACTTATTACCATTGCACAAACACATACAAATGTTTGATCCCTTCTAGCTACTGTTTAGCTTTAGCCTTGAATCACTAAACACTAAAAGATGTTGTTATTATTTTATGTTGATGTTACAGTGTGTCTCAACAATTATTGGCATCCCATTTGTGTTACAGCAATAAAGTTTTACGGTTATAATCAAAGTTAACCATAAATAATGCCCAAATTATACTTAGTTTCTGATCTCTGCATAAAACATATCGTTATCCCTTAAATTATCTTTGACAAAACAGAGATAACGATGTGTTTTATATAAGGATTTTGGTCTCAGAAACCAACGGTTACCGGTTTCAATTGTAACCGTGATCTTGACAAAATTTGACAAATATAACAGTAGTCTAGAATTCTGATACTAAAGCCTACGTTAAACAATCATTGTGAGACTTAAGGGTTAATTAAGAAGCTTGAACCCGGAAGTCAATATAATTGTTAATACTAGACAGCTCTTATTGCAATTAGAAATGGATATCCACTACTTCTATTGGATACTATAATAATTTGTGTTAACAAAAAATAATATACTCGTAACACATAAAATTAAGCCTACTCGTTTTCAGAAAAATACCAAAATTCAATTGTCAATCGAATTTGTGTAAAAGATTGGAATCTGTCAAATGTGTTGTGCAGACCTCTATATAAATTTCTTGTTAAAAAGATACAACATAAATACGAAAGTATTTATCCTTTGTTTCCATTGTCTTTGCCACTTATCGGGAATTTTGATCCGTTCGCCATTGTAATTTATACTTTATCTCAAAGCTGATAAGAGTTACTAACACCTAAATATGTTTGTCTCTTCTGTGAATCATTTCCTCTCTTACGTGAGTCATTTTTGTAACATCATTGGTAAACAGCGAGCTTATTTCATTTGCATAACTCAACAATACAACGCGTGTTTCACCGGACAAAACAGCTATAGTATCAAAGCGATGAATGGATACGCACAATTCAAAACTCTAAAACAGTCGTTCATATACTAGACGTCCGCTACTCCTTTCGCTCAGAATTAAAAAAAAAACTTAACAAGTATCCTATGTGTTCAACCAGACTATCTTCTATAAATATGCCAAATTTCATCAAAATACATCGTGAAATTCTGGAGATAGCTTCTAACAAACATCCTTGTAAACTTTCTCATTTATAATATTAGTAAGATTGGCGCAGTCCTTGCTTGCGTGGAATGAAACTCGATTGCCCTTGCGCTATTCCAGACTGGAATCTTTGTATCTTTTGCCTTAATATTATTACTAAGTATAACAATAGCTAAATAATTTCTATAGGATAATCTTAAGATTATCTGTCCACGTCTTATACAATGTACGGTCAATGATCTTTAAAACATTCAATGACCTGCTGTGTGTGCATATTTTACAAAGTAATTTGCAATTTACAATCACCAGTGTCTTAAATATGCGAGCATTTAGTATTTATAGTTTGGCATTTTGTTTACAGCGAAGATTATAAGAACAGAGGTCAAGTCAATGTTAAATGACAATGAAATGTAATGAAAACATAACTTCTAAAATGTTTGATAATATGTTAGGTAACATTTTGATGATGGTTTTAATGTTAGTTGCGTTGATTTTTGAATTTAGAATATTTTAATAAGAAATTTTAATTCGATTTCGTTTTAAGTTCGTTTAATTAATCCAAATTCATATTTCGAATAGCGTATTTTCATATAAAAATATTTCGTTGGAAAATAATTAATAATCTTTATTAAAATTTCTTAAAGGCTTAATAACCGTTTTTGATACTTAATTAAGACGTTCGATATTCAAATTATGAATAGAAACGCGCCACTTTTTCGAGCAAAGGTCAGGGGTTATGTCACTTTCTCTCCAAGTAGGTCAAGAACGCATGAAGGACAATATTCAAGCACTCACCAGGGTCGGACTGAACACTTTATTAGCGATATTCCACCATCATAAATCATTTGATAAGATACGCCCCTGTTCTCACAACTTCTATTAGTAAGCCGTAAATATGTTTTTCGAAGCTTTTGGAAAGAAATAATTCTTGTTATTCTAGTTATAGGTACTTTATTATGAAATTAGGATAATTAATGAGGGATAATTCACCAAATTAGATCCGTCCTTTATAGAACAAAATGGATATTTCTTTTTATAAGTAAGTACCCGTGGGAGTTATTTATGGGGATTTTTTCATTTAACTAGAGAGAGGTTTATTTAATTGGATTAAATAAAAAGGGCAGAAATAAGTTTAAAATAGAAGCTTAAGAACTCTTAATGCCGCACTCAGACTCGTTGAATGGTCTTTTAATGTAGATTTATTATGAGAATATATTTTTGTCTTTTACGTAATATTGATTTTCGTTTATCTCTTTAAGCTTCCGTGAAATTTAACCTTTTACTGTATTTAATAAAGCCGATTAGACTGTTTACTGCATACTTAAAAATTGCTTTATCAGTTTTGAAAAAACCACAAGAAAGTTAATCTAAACACGATTAACCAATATCTTAGCTTTCCTCGTGAATAAATCTATTTTATTGTAAAAGCTATAAAAATCCATGTCGTACTTTTATCTAGTTCAAACAGACAGAGAATGAGGGCCATTTATTTTGTTATATAAAAAATATGAACAAATCAGTAATATCTGCACATTTTTCTGCTTTACGAGCGTGATGCTTTTATCTTTACGACATTCCGTTTCCCTGGAGTATCCTACACGCCTTTTACACCCAGCAAGATCTGGAGAAAATTAAACTGAATAAAGGTTAACGCCGACTCGTCAACTCCTTCACTTGTTTGGCCTCGGCTTCGGCTATGGGTCGAGATAACGATATAAATTATTTAGCAAAACGATATTTCGTTCTCGCTTGCACGAGTGGACGGCGCGTGGTTCCCGAGGCGTGAGCAAGAGGTCCGCACGCCATCAAATTGACCGCGCGCCGTCCATCCGTGCAAGGACGATGCCGGGTAAACGAGGAGTGGAGCAATGCGCTTTTACCTTAACAATATTTATTTTTAAACTAAAAACGACTGACCGTATGTCCCTCAGGGATGTGACCTATCTCACACAGGAAAAGAATACGTATCGAATGACACCTCACTCGTCAAAATCGATTCGTTTAACCTACAGGGTGTTTTAATCGAATTGGTCTATATCAATCCACATGTACACGCAAAAATATTACCCCCTTGTTGCTGATAAATGCGGACTAAGCACAAGCTAATTATTCATGCACATGGCAACTGTACGTAATTGAACAACAAACATAGGCGTAGTGTAAATATGAAAGTAATGAGCAGTCCTACGGGAACATATTGAGCTATGCTCCAATACATCAACATAATGAGAACTGCTCTTTATAGTCGTATGAAAGCTTATCCCACATTTATAATCTACATTTTACTAATCCAAGTACATTTATAATCTGTATCGAGGACCTGATAATTGGATTAACCTTGAGATTTTCATTATTTCCTGATTTTAATAACATTAACATCTCTGCAATTATATTTTTTGAAGAATTTAAAATTTGACAGATGTCAACAATTGCACAGACTAAAAAAAGGTTATGAACAAAGAGCACAAGCTTTCTCTGAGAGACTAGCTGTAATGAATAATTTTGCTTTTAAAGATTGTATAGATACCGGACGACATTTTTCCTATTCAGTGAACTCAAAATAAGGAGTATAATACACAAAGACAGTATCACAAAATGATAAGCATAAGATAGACTTTATCAATGCTTGAGTAACATTCCAAAGGAACACCAAAATATTGTGCGTTATTTTGTGAACATTTTTAATAAATCTTAGTAATATTATAAATACGAATGTTTAGATGGATGTTTTATTGAAGGTATCTGCGGAACGACTCAACGGATCTTGATGAAATTTGGCACTGATATAAAACATAGTCTGTCAGAACACATAGGCTACTTATTACGTTTTTTTATTTCGCGCCGACGGAGTCGCGGACGACAGCTAGTATGAAATAAAACTGTAATAGGGATGGTTAATATATGAGAAAAACTATTTCACGAAAAAACATTTTGAAAATTAAGACATTTAGCGTAAAGTATATATGTATACCTGCACATATCTGAGAAGTAATTCAAAGATATTTTTGAAGTCAACCAACCCGCACTTGGCCAGCGTGGTTGACTATGGTCTAATCATCCTTAACTTAGGGTAGGCTCCGAGATCCTCGGTGGGGACGTATAGTGGGCTGATGATGATGATGATAATATATGCATCTCAATATTTACGCTGTTCATTTGTAACACGAGAACAAAACAACTAGGAAAAAATTACATGAAGACTTTATCTTAATATAATTAGTATCATTAACCGTTTTGTTTATAATTATTGGCGCATGTTTGTTTTGTTATTCTACGATTGGTACTCTTTGTTTGTCAATAACATCGCAATTACTCGTCGGTATTGCAAATTGTGTTGACGTTCTCGCTTTAAAACTAATTCAACTTTTATAAAATTCGTAAATTAAGACTTAGTAAAAAACGAAACTTTATTTTGTAATTACTTATTTAATTTGGTCGATCAAGAACGCAAGACTAGATGATTAATCAAGTAATTAATTTTATTTGCACTTATTTAATCCGCCTGAATAATCTAGTAACCAGACCAATGTTCAATATTCGCATATTTTAAACAGGATTAGGGAAATTTTAGTTTGCTGTTCAGGTAACAATTTACAAGGCATAGTTAACAGACTGACATATAGTTCTATGTTTGATTTTAGAAAACGCATAGTTAAAGCATTTTTGATTTACTCCCGTAAAGTATTGAAATTTGAAAGGTATTTTAGTGAAATGGCTTAATTCTGTATGTTAACGCAAATTAATTTAATACTTGTTTTGTTATATATCAACGTCAATAAGTAAAATACATACAAAGCCTACAAAACACTATTTTTTTCAATGTTTATGTAGAACTATGTTGGCATGTTGACACGCTTTTACTCTTTCCGCATTTATCGTCGCATAACGCGCTGTATTTATGCACTAACACACCATTTAACTAAAACTATACTTTATAGACATACTTATTTATCTTATCTTCACCAAATCGTTGTGTAAACAGTTTACGTTGCGAGTTGATGCATACTCAAGAATTTCGCGTAGGGGCCTATTCTAAGGCGGACGTTTCTTCGATGAAATCCGATGGGAAGGACCAAAGATTCCGTGGCGCTTAGACAATAGTCGCCGGTGAGAGTCGGCGCTGTTGTGACGAACGTTAACCTCTCATATCCCGCTTCACTGTACATCTAACTTCATTTAACGTAACAAATCAAAAGTAATAACAACACATACTAGGCAATAAGCTTCAACTGTGTACACCCTGACACACTAATGTCATATTCAACTACACGACTGTCAAATAGCGCGTGATTATTGCGAACGAAGGCAGCGTAGACGCGACCACCTCGCTCGGGCGCGTGATGCTGACTGATTCGGTTTTGCTTGCCTGCTCTTGCTCTCAGCTCGGTCGCTCGAATGTTATACTGTACGGGACCGCGTGGGCTTGCCATATCTAAAACATTTCCCCGAAAACGGCCGTATCAAGCATAATAAATAAAATAATAAATATTTAGAACTTGTTTCCTGCGAAATTCCATAATTTTTGCCTTATTTGAATTTCGTAGTAAATTAAATAGCAGTATTGAAGGGTTCCAGTAATAATTTTGGGCAAAACAAATTTACTTATGAAGTAAGTATCAAGCAATTAACTTAATACTTTAAGTAAGTAGGTCTTGTTAAATTAATCTGATACTTATACGCTTCTCATTAGCCAGACTGTTGGAAAACATCTCAGTTATATAATTTTAATCTTAAATTTTATATTAAAAAGTAATTATTAACTAAATCTACAAGTATTCTTTTCCAAAATACATTTTACTGTTTTTCTTCGATCTCATTTGGGGTAATTGATCCTGTTAACATTTCAATAAGGAAATATGTAACTGTTGTGTGTTGCCATATTATTTAGTTTAATTTGCACTAATGTAATTGAGCGACTAACTATAACGGTAACTTCTTTGACGGCTGTATGTTAATTATGGGTCAAAGTCGGACAACGTATTGTGTGCAAGATGTTAAGGCAAATGTAACGTGATTTAACACTTTGACTTTATTTAACGTCTAGCGGTACAACGCATCTAGAAGCTCATACGACCAAAAGTCTTCACCAACTATAACCAAAAGACTCATACTAGTTGGGATAAAACAATAACGTAAATGTGACTTTGTGTCTCTTTGCGAGATAGTGTTACTATGCCTCCGGATAAAGCCGGATATAGGTAGGCTTTTTAATTGCGTGTCCGGCGAAAATAAACGATTGTCCGGCTTTTGTTAGGCTTTTTACATTTCGCAAATGAAAGTGGTCGCTGGATGTAGGTTACTAACCTAGCTAGTCTGTCCGACTATTAGGTATGGCGACCTGGCAACCCTATCTGGAGAAAAATACAAATCAAACATTTTGCACTTCGAAATTATCAATGCACTATACAGGAGGCCGTCAAGAAATGGACCACTGACTTTTATAAATTGCTATATGACGGAATATTTTGTGCTTATTTGATTTTCGCCATTTTGGCGCTAATGTTAGCAGTGTACCTTTGAAAAAAATTTGCCCTCCTGACAAAAATTTGACTTGTTTGAATCTTAGGCGAAGTTTAATTAATCAATTTGTTACCTATATTATTTATTGTTTAGTAATAATAGATTAAATTAATATTTGTGGTTTAATTTAGTCTATTCGCTATTCTTGTCAAAAATTTTAAGGTTATTTTATTAACCTTTCTTAACTATAACTAAATGTTTAGCTTCATTTGGATTACTTTGTCGTAGATGTCAAAACTAGCTTACATTGTGAAAAGTGACGTCAGAGTGCAGTTTTTTCGACGGGTTTTTTTCTGTAAGATTATTTAGGTCCACCAGAGTGCTTTCTGCAGCCGTTTCTTCGTCGTACAATAATCCAAGCTCGGTAATTTTACGAGAGGAGCTTTTTTTAAACTTGAAGTTAAAATTAACCCATTGAAATTCAGACTTTTCTTTCCACTTCGGGTGAACGTAAAAACTTCCACAGAAACGAAAAGGGAAATAAATTTATAAGTTATACTTATAAAATGTAATATAATTTCGAAATGCCCTGAAATAATTGAATATGATTTATATAAAAAAAAATAATATTAGGTTTTTAAATGGGTCGAATACAATTATTTTTAAATAGGAAAGAATAAGCAATTTAATATATGCTATAGCAACAGATTTTCTCACAAATTTTTGTAACTACATCATATATATATCGTACCAATATATTAACTATATTTGGGCACATATAATAAAAATATATTCGCATACCTATATCTAAAATATAACGTAAATAATGTTTGAATATCTTCTTTCATTCAACGCACTTTCGCCGTTCAGAAACCCTGAATTCAAATTAAAATATTAAAAAACCATGCTTGATATTAACGTCCTTTGCCAGACACACTTCAGATAATTACATACATGTCACGTTGAGAGTTAGTTCATCAAACTAAGTATTCATAATGCCACCGTAAACTTGTAAAACGGTCATATTCCAATCCCATTAATGACATTATAATTAATTAAATTTTACAAGATATAATCCCATAAACATATTTTTTATCAATTTTACGGTAACATACTTATGCATCGAGTTACGCGCTGCTAAGTAGAACTTTTGCCTTCCTCTTTCCGCTAGACGAACTCGAATTTGTCAAATAGAACTGCAAAGTTTCCAGCAAAACTGCTATCTCACGGGAAATGTTCCGAACAAGCGGCTGTAAACTATTTTAATACGAGCCTAACTGCTTGCTACTGTATTATTTATTTTACAGTCTGAATTAAAAAAAAAGTTAATTAGTAACCTATGTGTTCTTCCAGACTGTGTTCTACATGTATCCTAAATTCAACAGAGATTAGATTAGCCGTTCTGGTGATACCTTCTAACAAACATCCATCCACCTAAACATACATCCAAACATCTGTATTTATAATATTAATAAGATGACGATTAGAAAAAAAGTTATATCTAGTTTATATTATCTGTTTTCTCAACATACAAAAAAAACTAAAAAAAAGACAAAACTTATAAAAGAAGTACAAATATTATTCGAAGAAAAATTCATCCGATCATTCCTAACATATTTTGTGAATAATAAATTTAATTAAAATTTCTTTTGATATGTAGCCGTCAAAGAAAATTTAATTAAGGACTAATTTCACAGAGCGTTAATAAAAAGGCCTTAATAACATAATATCTTAATACTATTCGTTTATTCAGTCTCACTTTGATGTTTCTGTACAAGAGATTTTGAGTTATATTACTAACATTATAAATGCGAAATAGATGGATCAATAGTCTCCAGAACGGCTCAACGAATCTTACGCAAATTTGGCATAGATGTAGAAGTCTGGAAGAACACATAGATTAAGTTTTTTTTTCACTACACGAGTTCGGCACAGCCTGTACTACTTTTTATTCTTCTGAAGAATAATGATATTAAAATTAAAAAGGTAGTAAATATTTACTACCTTTTTAATTTTAATATCATAAATATACAATGAAAATTTGATTGTATGTTTGCATTGAATAGGCTCCGAAACTACTGAACCGATCCATATTATCTTACTAATATATATACGAATGTTTAGATAGATGCAAGGATGGATGTTTGCTTGAAAATATCTCCAGAACGGCTGGATGAATCTCAAAGAAATTTGGCATTGATGTAGAACATAGTATGGAAGAAAACATAGGCTATTAATCAAGTTTTTATCTTTGCATTGAATAGGCACAGTAACTACTATACCAATTGATATTATAATGACAAAAAAGAATTTACGTATTTCTATCATCTTAGTATGTTTAGTATGTCAGTCATCAATGCAAGACAGTAAGATCAGTCATTAAATCAAAACAGGAAGCTTTATCGTTAACATATTTAAAATTACATTAATATAAATATTCTAACAATAACAATGACACAAAGAAACTATTCAACAATATGAATGAACTCGATAACTAAAGGAATCAGTATAGTTGCATTCTTTTCACCAAACTACGACATATTAGAAAACCAACAGTTGCCTACATTTAATCGACAGAAGAGGGGATGCACAAAATAGAATATTTTCCCTTCCATAAATCCACAATAAAATCCACTTCCACTTGCCATTCTTTCCTTATAAGAAAAAAGGATGGGACGGGAAAGAGGGCTAAAGTTAAGCCCACGCGGCGCACACTCATCAGACGAAACGCGGAATTGTTTCCACTTGACGCCTATCTTCTGTGTGGTCGTGGTATTGCACTGGGATAACCGGCCAATTCGTTCGAAGATGTTAAAGCGGGCTCTACCATTGTAAGGTGGGAAAACTACTTAATAATATTCCATTTTAATTATAACCTTAAACACATTAGCATAAGACATAAAACTTTATCTATTTTAAAACTATAGGGAATCCAAGAGAGTATCTCGTACCAGCATTTTAAATTATTACCAATTTGCATGTAACTGTATACAAAGAGCAGACATATTTATTGTACGAACACTCCCAAGGGTTGTGTGCATTTTTTATGCATCCGAGTGTAACCTGCCGAGTCCAGGAATATTTCATCTTTTATTAATCCATTTGTAGCTTCATGTTTATTGTAAACCAGCTATCACTCGCAACTCCATCCGCACGTAATAAAGAAACTAATTAGAAGCTCATGTGTTCCTCCAGACTATGTTCTACAGCCGTGTAAATTTTCATCCACAATCGTTGACCTGTTTTGAAGATACATTCAAACAATTCGCATTTATATCAGTAAGAAGTAAGATTCAACAAGATCGATATAAGTGAACAAAGCATTACTAAAAGTTAGGTTTCTTGATTTTATTCAATTATTACATAAAAACAAACATTCACATAGACTATGCTTGTGGATCTTCTGGTGACTCTCATCTTAATGGTCACTCTGAGTTCTTAAGTTCTTAATTTGTCTCTAAGAGACATCAGAATTACTCAATGTGGATTTAGTAAGAGAATTTTGCAATAAAAATGTGTTAAAGTCACCATTACCGACTCTGAGTGTCGCCTGCATTTCCAAAACCTTTTCGTCCCCTCATAAAAAGTTTTATTTATACATGACAAACGAAGTGGTTACTAGACCCACTTTTCAGGAAATTTCAAGAGTAGACAACTAATAACGTTTTCATAACTTTTATGTTCTTATGAAAAATATAGTTGTTTTCGTAATGGAAAAGTTACTCGGAAAAATATTTCTTCACCGAAAAAAATATTCACATAATAAAAGCATGATTTATTCAGAGTAAAGGAAGTGGAAAAGTTTTGAAAGGCGTGTCTCTGTCACATAGCAATTTAATAACATATTACTTGTTAGTAATATTATAAATGTGAATGTTTAGATGGATGTTTGTTTGAAGGTATCTCCAGAACGACT